CTTGAAATATGTTTAGAGTGTAATATTAATGTGATTTATTTACTCTAAAACCAAGCTGTGACGAGAAATAATAACAAGAAAAATATGAATATCCGAGGTGTTGAAAATTTCACGAAGTAAACAGAAAACGCCACAATTAAAGTTCAGGGATCAAGGGGAAGAAACAGTAATACTTTTATATACAAAAAAACTTTTATTCCTGAAATTTACACTGAATTCACATTCTCCTGACCTCCTTTGTGTACATCAGTGTAGTTGAGACCTCGCTGAGCAAGAAATGTAGGTATATATTTTGGTATGGTCTTTGTTTTGGAGCCAAAGCCACCACAGTCTTGTTCATTTGTGCGTTTTAAGGAAAACGCGTTTGCCAGGTTTGATGTTCTAAAGTAATACGTTTGTATTACGTTGTGAGCACCTGAACGCATAGGAACAGATGCTCATTCTTAAAGCTTGTAAAGGTACCTTGTCGTGATGACAGGATCTGTGTATAGATTTCATACAAAAAATAAAAATCGGTATTAAATAGAGGGAAATAGAACATCATAAGACTTGGCTATACAACGTGTAAAGCGCGCGCTCTCCGTACCGCTTATCGCCGCCAACAGTCACGTGACCAAAGCCCCGAAGGCCCTCGATGGCTAGGCGTAGTAGCTCGCCGGGGGGCCGTAGGTGTCGCTGTCGATCGCCACGCCGCCGCCGTCGACCGCCGCGCTGAGGGCGCTCTGCAGGTCGAAGCCGCCAGGGAGGATCGGGTTGTCGCCTTCGTCGTAGTTGACGTAGTACACCTGGGGCGTCTGCGGGCCGTCGCCGGGGACCTCGATGACCTTGGGCACCTCCTGCTCCTTCTTGCTGAGCACGTAGACGACGTTCTCCTGACGCGGCGGAGGGATGACGATGGGCTCCGGCGGCCCGCCCGCGTCGGGCGTGCGGATGAACACCACGTTGTGCTCCACTTCGGGCGGCGGGAGGGACTGCGGAGGCACGTACGGGTGCTTCACCTCCGGCGACGTGAACACGTACACGTTTTTCGTCAGTTTCGGGAACGCGCAGCTGCCGTCCGTGTTCTTGATCTTGCCTCCTCCGCACGGCCCTCCGCCCAGGCCAGGGGCGCCGTAGCCTGAAGAGGGCGGCGCGCCGTAGCCTGAAGAGGGCGGCGCGCCGTAGCCTGAAGAAGGCGGAGCGCCGTAGTCTGAGGAGGGCGGCGCGCCGAATGACGGGGAAGGAGAGCCGAAGGAGGAACTAGAAAACCCATTGCCGAGGGAGTGCGCCGGAGGGCTGTACGAGGACGAGATGTGCGAGGGCGACGTGTACACGGGGTGGCTGTGCGAGGAGGCGCTCTTCCTGTGCAGGGACGGGAGGCCGAGCGAGGAGGCCGACGGGCTGAAGGAGGACGAGTCCAGGGAATCAGACGAAGGGCCGGAGTAGAGCGACTGGGGAAGCAGGTATCTCTGAGACGCCGCCGCCGACGCGACCAACGCTGACGCCACGACCTGGAAGAGAAGAGCAGATGAAGCCAAGGCGGAGCGCACTGGAACGACTTTTACGACGTGTCTGCGTGCGCACTTCGAAGCGGAAAACGCGTTATGCACACGCGCGCACACATAAATAAAGCTTCTGGCATTTTAGAACAGTCACGAATGATGTTGCAAGCATTCACTAAGATTAGCCCGACTGACTTTTAAACTGCTGACTCATATCGCAAATTACTTGCAACCAATATGCAACATTTATTATGCGATGGTCAGATGGAATTCATAAGAGAACAAGGCGAGTTGCAGGTCACATTTCGTGATTACAAGGGCAGTGACACAATTACACGAACAATTAAACGAACAATCAAACTGCAAACACCCACACTTGCCTGAAAAATGCCAGTCAGCAAAAGGGGGGGGGGGGTGGAACGAGGGAAAGGGGCGGGGAAAAATGCAATAATGATACGAACTTTCGTTGCACAGTACCGCACCGCTCCGAGGTATTTTCTTACTCTGTGCAGCTAAAGTGTATCTTTATTTCATTTATCGTCATTTTCTTTAATCTAAACTATGCAACTGAAGTAGCGAAAAGTATAATATTGGTCTGCTCTACTGATAAGAGAACAAAATGACATAATCTGCTGTTAACTGTATTCAGTAATTGTGGTATGAACAACTGAGATAGAAATACTACAACTACAACTCGTATTATACGTTGTATTGACCGTAGCACTAGTTTCAGTTTTAATTGTATTAATAGTGGTTATTGCAGGACTGTTAATAGTTTGCCAGAAACGAAAGAAAGATAACAGAAAAGGTAATAGTAATAGCAACAATAATAGTCAAATTACTGTAAGAAAATGAGTAAAACCAACAGAATTCGCAAAAACATCGGTAGAAATAATACTGGTTTTAGAATTATTAGTTGTATATGTTACTAGTAACTAACAATAGTAATGCTAGAAGTGGCAGTAACAACCATAGTGAAACTAGTTAAAGCATTAGTAGAAATATAAGCGTAGACAAACAAACATAACTGTTTAAAGGTATATATATATATATATATATATATATATATATATATTATATATATATATATATATATATATATATATATATATATATATATATATATATATATATATATATATATATATATATATATATATATATATATATATGTATGTATGTATGTATGTGTATGTATGTATGCGTGAAAGATAATTCATTCATTACTAAGATCACTTATGGTAGCTGAGGCATGAGTGTTTGCACGTACGTCTGTATGTATCAGTATACGCACCTACACATTTACTTACCATACGTTCTGGACAGACATGTATGATTGCATGTATGTAGTACGTATGGCATGTGGGTTGGTATGTTAGAACCATGTGCAATTTGTTACACACACACACACACAGCACACACACACACACACACACACACACACACACACACACACACACACACACACACACACACACACACACACACACATATATGTATATGTACATATATATATATATATATATATATATATATATATATATATATATATATATATATATATATATATATATATATATATATATATATATATATATATATATATATATATAGTAAGCATACTAAAATTACTATTAACATTACAGAGGATCATACGCTATGGACCTTTACCATACCCCACAGACACTAAACTAATCAAATGCAAAACATATACACCCGAAGGACAATCCACACCTCATACCCACCACATACCCAACCCAACATACCACACAAGTGCCACGATGGATGAGATACAAAGCGATAAAGGAGCGACATGCACGAGAGACGAGAGAGAAAGAGACTTACCAAGAAGTTCATGCTGGGGATGATGCGGAAGCAGGTCGCCTGCGCTGCTTATATATACCTGGAATTTTACACAGTCATGCAAGCGCTTCTACTCCTCCTCCTCCTCCTCCTCCGCCTTTTCTACCACCTTCTCCTCTTTCTTTTCCTCTTCTTCTTCTTCTCCTCCTCTTTCATTTGATTTCTTCTCTTCTTTCTTTCCTTCTTCTCCTCTTTCTTTCCTTCTTCTCCTGTCTTTTTTTCTTCTTCTCTTCTTTTTCTTCTTCTCCTCTTTTTTTTTCCTTCTTCTTCTCCTCTTTCTTTTTTCTCCTCCTCTTTCTTTTCTTCTTCTTTTTCTCTTTTTCTCCTTTCTTTTCTTCTTCTTCTTCTCCTCCTCTTTCTTCTTTCTCCACATGTATATCTTCCTGTTCTTCCTTTCCTCCTTCTTCTCGTTCTTTTACATTTCATTCTTTTTGCTCGTCTACCGTATTTATCTTATTTCTCTTTACTTCTTTCTTTCCGTTTATTCTTGAAGTCCCTTCTCTACTCTTCCTTTACCCCCCCCCCCTAATTTACCTCCTCTTCTTCCTCTTCCTTCTCCTCCTCTCGTCCTCCCCTCCTCCTCTTCTCCCACTCCTCCTCCTCCTCCTTTTATGTTCCACTTTCTCCTCTACTAATCTTTTCTTCGTCTCCTCCTACCCCTCATTTTCCTCCTCTTCCTCCTCATCTTCATTCTCCTCTTCTTTTTATTCGTCTTCTCCTCCTTATCATTATCTCCCTCCATCCCTTGTCGTTCCTCCTCCTCCTCCATCCTCTGTCCCTCCTCCTGCTCCTCTCCTCCTTTCCTCTTCTTTTTTCTTATTCTTTTCTTTTCCTCCTCCTCCTCCTCTTCTTCTTTCCTCCTCCCTCCTCCTTCTCCTTTCCCTTCTTCTTCTCCTCTTCGTTTTCCTCCTCCTCCTCCTTCTTCCCCTCCCCTCCCCTCCTCAGTTTCTTCCTATTCTTCCTTCTTCTTCTCCTCCTCCTATCTCTTCTTCGTCTTCTTCTTCTTCCTCTCCTTCCTCCTATTTCTTTTTCTTCTTCTTCATCTTCTTCTACTTCTTCTTCTGCGCCTTCGTTTTTCTTCTCTCACTCTCCTTCTTCCTCTTTTCGCTTTCTCTTTTGTCCCTTACTCTGTTTTTGTTTTTGTTTTTCTTGCTTGTCTGTTTCTCTCTTTTTTTCTTTTTTTTATGGGGAAGAAAGTGGAAGATAAAGAAAACGCGAAGAAGCGAGGGTACAATTATCTGTATATCTGGTATTTTCCGTAATATTTGCTTGTTCATGCTATCTCTCTTTCTCTCTTTCTGTCTGTCTGTCTGCTCTCTCTCTCTCTCTCTTTCTTTTTTTCTTTCACTCATTCTTTCTCTACCTCCCTCTGTCTCTCTTTCTCTCTCTGTCTCTGTCTCTGTCTCTGTGTCTCTCTCTCTCTCACTCTCTCTCTCTCTCTCTCTCTCTTCTCTCTCTCTCTCTCTCTCTCTCTCTCTCTCTCTCTCTCTCTCTCCTCTCTCTCTCTCTCTCTCTCTCTCTCTCTCTCTCTCTCTCTCTCTTTCTCTCCTTTCTCTCCTCTGCTCCTCTCTTTCACTCTCTAGAATTTTCTCTAGAATCATGTTCATCTCCTTATCCGTCATTTTTTGTAATTTTCGGACATTTTTACCATTTCTTACAAACCACATTTTTTCACAATCATCCCCCCCCAAAAGGAAATCTCTCTCTCTCTCTCCCTCCCTCTCTGTCTGTCTCTGTCTGTCTGTCTGTCTGTCTGTCTGTCTGTCTTCTCTCTCTCTCTTCTCTCTCTCTCTCTCTCTCTCTCTCTCTCTCTCTCTCTCTCTCTCTCTCCTCTCTCTCCTCTCTCTCTCTCTCTCTCTCTCTCTCTCTCTCTCCTCTCTCTCTCTCTCTCTCTCTCCCTCTCTCTCTCTCTTCTCTCTCTCTCTCTCTTCCTCTCCTCTTCTCTCTCTTTCCTTCTCCCTCTTCTTCCTCTTCTTCCCTCTCCTCTTCTCTCCCTCCCTCCCCTCTCTCTCCTCCTTCTCCCTCTTCCACTTAACTCTCTCTCTTCTCACTTTCTCCTCTCCTTCCCTCTCTCTCTCTCTTCCTCTTTCTCCTTTTCCCTCTCACACACAATTCAATGTCGCTTATCGGCAGTTCACAATATAAGTCAGTGTCGATCCCCTCCGTGAGATATTATGTTGCATGATGTTGCAAAAGGACCCATCACCTCATGACTCTTGCATACTAAGCTCGCCGTTGCATGAACAAAAAAGTTCCATCGCTTTCTGCAGACAGTCATGAGTTTTCTAATGTTAACGATCATTAGTTATTTTTTTATATAGATTTGTATGGTGGATGTATAAGATCGATTGGTGGATGGACAAGTGGAGTGTGAGATAGATGGATAAGTGGAGCGTGAGATAGATGGACAAGTGGAGTGTGAGATAGATAGACAAGTGGAGTGTGAGATAGATGGACAAGTGGAGTGTGAGATAGATGGACAGTGGAAGTGTGGAGATGAGATGATGGACAAGTGGAGTGGTGGAGATAGATGGACAAGTGGAGTGTGAGATAGATGGATAAGTGGAGTGTGAGATAGATGGACAAGTGGAGTGTGAGATAGATGGACAAGTGGAGTGTGAGATAGTGGACAAGTGAGTGTGAGATAGATGGACGGGTGGAGTGGTGAGATAGATAGACAAGTGGAGTGTTAGATAGATGGAAGTGGAGTGTGAGATAGTGACAAGTGGAATGGTGAGATAGATGGACGGGTGGAGTGTGAGATAGATGGACAAGTGGAGTGTGAGATAATGGACAAGTGGAGTGTGAGAGATGGAGAAGTGTGAGATAGATGGACAAGTGGATGGAATAGAGGACAAGTGGAGTTGAGATAGATGGACAAGTGGAGTGTGAGATAGATTGGAAAGTGGAGTGTGAGATAGATGGACAAGTGGAGTGAGATAGATGTGAGTGTGAGATAGATGGACAAGTGGAGTGTGAGATAGATGGACATAGTGGAGTGGAGTAGATGGACAAGTGGAGTGTGAGATAGATGGACAAGTGGATGTTGAGATAGATGGACATAGTGGAGTGTGAGATAGATGGACAAGTGGAGTGTGAGATAGATGGAATGAGATTAATGGAGTGGAAGTGAGATAGATGGACATGGAGTGGAGTGTGAGATGGACAAGTGGACACGATGGTGGAGTTGTGAGATAGATGGACGGGTGGGTGTGAGATAGAATGGACAAGTGAGTTGTGAAGATGATGGACAAGTGGAGTGTGAGATAGATGGACAAGTGGAGTGTGAGATAGATGGACAAGTGGAGTGTGAAGATGGAGTGTGATATAGATGGACAAGTGGAGTGTGAGATAGATGGACAAGTGGAGTGTGAGTGATGGGACAAGTGGAGTGTGAGATGGACAGGTGGAGTGTGAGATAGATGGACAAGTGGAGTGTGAGATAGATGGATAAGTGGAGTGTGAGATAGATGGATAAGTGGAGTGTGAGATAAATGGACAAGTGGAGTGTGAGATAGATGGACAAGTGGAGTGTGAGATAGATGGACAAGTGGAGTGTGAGATAGATGGACAAGTGGAGTGTGAGATAGATGGACAGTGGATGTATGATGGACAAGTGGATGTGGAGGATTGGACAAGTGAGTGAGATAGATGGATAAGTGGAGTGTAGATCAAGTGGAGATAAATGGAAGTGGAGTGAAGATAGATGGACAAGTGGAGTGTGAGATAGATGGACAGAGATGGACAAGTGAGTGTGAAGATGACAAGTGGAGTGGTGGGATAGATGGACAAGTGGAGTGTGAGATAGATGGATAAGTGGAGTGTGAGATAGATGGACAAGTGGAGTGTGAGATAGATGGACAAGTGGAGTGTGAGATAGATGGACAAGTGGAGTGTGAGATAGATGGACGGGTGGAGTGTGAGATAGATGGATAAGTGGAGTGTGAGATAAATGGACAAGTGGAGTGTGAGATAGATGAGAGTGAGATAAGAGATAGATGGACAAGTGGAGTGTGAGATAGATGGACAAGTGGAGTGTGAGATAGATGGACAAAGTGAGTGTGAGATAGTGGACAAGTGAGTGTGGGATAGATGGACAAGTGGAGTGTAGAGATAGATGGGGATAAGTGGAGTGTGAGATAAGATGGACAAAGTGGTTGAGATAGATGGACAAGTGAGTGTGAGATAGATGGACAAGTGGAGTGTGAGATTAGGACATAGTGGACAGTGTGAGATAGTATGGACAAGTGGGAGTGTGAGATAGATGGACAAGTGGAGTGTGATAGAGGACAAGTGGAGAGAGAGATGGAAAAGTGGATTGTGAGATAGTGGATGGAACAAGTGGAGTGTGAGATAGATGGATAGTGGAGTGTGAGATAGATGGACAAGTGGAGTGTGAGATAGATGGAAGTGGAGTGTGAGATAGATGGACAAGTGGAAGTGTGAGATAGATGGACAAGTGGAGTGTGAGATAGATGGACAAGTGGAGTGTGAGATAGATGGATGGAGGATATGACAAGTGGAGTGAGATAGATGGTGAGTGGATGAGATAGATGGACAAGTGGAGTGTGAGATAGATGGACAAGTAGTGTGAGATAGATGGACAAGTGGAGTGTGAGATAGATGGACAAGTGGAGTGTGAGATAGATGGACAAGTGGAGTGTGAGATAGATGGACAAGTGGAGTGTGAGATAGATGGACAAGTGGAGTGTGAGATAGATAGACAAGTGGAGTGTGAGATAGATGGACAAGTGGGTGTGAGATAGATGGACAAGTGGGAGTGTGAGATAGATGGAAGTGGAGTGTGAGATAGATGGACAAGTGGAGTGTGAATAGATGGACAAGAGTGTGAGATAGATGGACAAGTGGAGTGTGAGATAGATTGGAGTGTGAGATAGATGGACAAGTGGAGTGTGAGATAGATGGACAAGTGGAGTGTGAGATAGATGGACAAGTGGAGTGTGAGATAGATGGACAGTGGAGGTGTGAGATAG